TTTGAGCTTTTTTCCGCTGCCACGCCTAAACTGCCGTATATCGAAGACATCATGTCTTGTCGATCAAATCATTTATTTTCCATTGAAAAAAGCTTGATCGAGCTGTACTACATAACTTACACGACAGCTAGCATTTACTTTATGCGGCCCAGTTAATAACTTCCAACAAAAATTTTTTCCGTTTTTTGGTAGTGAACAACTAATACTGAATTTTTCTTTTATTATTAAAAGCGACACATTACATGAACAAAATAGTTGACAAGAAATAGTATCATGAGTTTCTTTCTCTACCAAACACTATTTAGTATCCACCTCCCATGCCTAGTTAACCGCCCAGGCCTCATGGTCCACCCAAACCTAGTCCACCAATACCTGGTTGCCCGCCCACACCTGGTTGTCCACCCAAACCTAGTTGTCCACCAATACCTGGTTGCCCGCCCACACCAGGTTGTCCACCGATACCTGGTTGTCCACCAATACCTGGTTGTCCACCAATACCTGGCTGTCCACCAATACCTGGTTGTCCGCCTACACCTGGTTGTCCACCAATACCTTGTCCACCCAGGGCTGAAGGTCCACCCATACCTTGCGGGCCACCCATGCCTGGTTGTCCTACACTGCCTCCTGGTCCACCAAGGCCTAGTTGACGACGTTCCCTTGCTAAAATATTTCCAAAATTAATTTTACTTCAATGAGCTATCAATAACTTACCCGGTAAACTGAATACCAAATCAAGACACAAAACAATAACAACAACCGCTGACTTGAACATATTTGATTATTGACCTCTAGTGGAATCGGATAGATGAAATAATACTTGGTTACTGAAAACGATGCTGATTACTGAACCGAATAATATCTTGTGTGTTGAATTCAGCCTATTTATATTAAGGTTACAAAAGAAATTCAGACAATCGACATTGTCACCATCGTGAACATATATATTCATATCAGACTAATATTTTTCCATTTCTTTCACAGATAAAGTGGACGGACAGGACAATCATTACGATGAACAGGAAAGCCTTTTTATTCACGACTGGTTCACGCACTGTCAGACTATTAATTCGTATGAATACTTTTTATCCCATTGTTTCTAACTTGTATAATGAACTGATATCGAGAAAGAGAAACGTATATTAACCAATACAGAATGAATTAGACCACTATGCAATTCATATGGTCGATAAGATTTTAAAGCAACAGAACAAAATGAACTAGAAGAAGCCGAACAAAATGAAACGAGGAGAAGCCGAAAAAATGTTGTTACAAAAAGGTAGAAGAAGTCGGTTTATTCATGCAGAAACGGCGGCATTTCTCCTGGCAATGTGTGAAAATTTACTTGGACATTATTTTTTATCTACTAAATATCAACATGAAGTTCAAGATTCCCACTTATGTGACATTATCGGTGAATATCTTCATGGGTTGTTAAATTTAATTGGATAACTCAATCAATTGATTATTATCGAAGAATTTCAATCAACGGAGACTTGTCCCATATTCAGATTTATGTATACGACATGAAAAAGAAGATAAACGCTAAAGCTCTAATGGTTCTTTATGATCAGCTACTGTTTAGTGTTCTGTTTTTCTTCTTTAATAATAAAGTCTGACCGATAAAAATAATATATGATGTGTATCACTCAATGACTGAATAATGTACCTCAACTAATTATCATGAATATCCAAATCAACAACAAAAATCATTTAATCAGCAGAAGACAGGACACCAAACACCTACAAGTAAAATTGTATCAAACAGTTTATAACCTTAAACCTTAATAAGAAGTTGAAATTGAAATTGAAAAGGAGATCGGATGGAGTAAGAATTATTGATGAAACTGAGGGAAAGGTGAAGTTCGAGGTAGAATCAATTTATTATCTGCGACGTATGTTCGTCCAGTATTTGTGTAACTAGCATTAACAGCAGTAAAGTGTATGTACTAAATGAATCAAAATAATGATGAGTGAATGAGAGGAAATTGACGTCATTTCTCTTAACAAATATGTGAGCAACTTTATGTTATCTTTTTCTAGTTCTATTCATTTTTATGATTTATATGCTGCGGTCAAAATTTAGTATAGTATTATATCCAATTACTTTTCTACACTGTACATAACTTTTTCTATTTCTTTCCCACATTCGTTTTACGGTTAAGCCAAAAGTAAGTGATTGTTTCTTTTTCTTTCTCATTTTAATTTGACTGGTAAGTTTTACTACTGTCACTATTTGGCGTATTTTTCTCGGATGTTGTTGTTGATACGATCTTTTGATATCTGATTGAGTGCCTAATGAAGGAAATTATTGTGTTTTTATGCAATTCTTCATAGAAGATTAGATACTTTTTTTTCATGATTTCAGTGATGATTAATAGATTCATATAGTGTATTAAGATAGATTTTATTATTATATTCATTTCAATATTGCCGTTTTTTAGTTTCTCTTTTTTTTGTGTTAAAGTCTAATAAATAGATTTTTTTAATAAAAAAAATATTTCAAAATGAAAAATAGAAAAACAATAATGATCGAAAAAGTGTTTGAAAAACAAAATCATACGACCATTGAGAACAAATTGTAGTATGTTGTTGTATAAAACAACTGAGAGTTTAATTTTTATTTATATAAGAAGAATCTAATTAATTCTTCTCATTGCATATCTAGTCAGCCAAAAACTATGGGACACTTTCTTCTCCACTGTCCAGTATATAATTCCCACATATTCTTCTCAGCTAGGTGAGCTTTTTAAATCAAAACATAACAAAGAAACTACTTCTATTTAATAATAACACCATTTTCTCGCAAAAATAGTGTCTGGTAAATTTATAACAGTTACTGAACGATCCTCTCAGACCAATGTCTGTAATTCTCAATCACCTATTCCACGAATATCTGCTCTTGTGCAAATGTATTTTCGATATGTTATCACTGTTCTTCTTCTGCACTATGATTGCAGCAATATCATCAGTGGAAATTACTGGTGGCTTAAATTTCAATGGCTGTACGTAAGGTGATTGGATAAAAGCTAAGTGTGAACTTTGAAAAATTAACGTAATGTGGAGATGGAACTATGTAATACATGGTTTGTTTGTTATTTTTAAATTTCTGTTTGTTTTTTTCTATTTTCACATTTTTCGTTCGCTCATATTATATGAACGAACGAAAAATATATGCGTCGTAATTCTGTACGTAGAGAAAAAAGAAACAAGAAAAAAATTTATATGAAGAAGAAGAGAGCATAATGAAGAGAAAAGAAACCTGTCACGTGACATAATGATAGTTTGAACGCAAAAGATTTGTTATGCGTCATATATGAACGATCGGACCGAAGGAAAGATGGGAAAGAAATGAAAGCACTATTTCAATCTGCTCTCATGAGATGAAATTCCGCTATTCTTTTTTATGCCACTCACATACGACAAGATGCGTCGACAGTGGGTCTAAGGAGAACGAAAAATTTCCATCAAACGAATTGAAAGACAATCAAAGAGAATTACTCTGAATGTGTCCTTATGTCCCACATTCCCATTTATGTATACAACAGGGAAAAGAAGATAAACGCTAAAGCTCTAATGGATCTTTATGATCAGCTACTGTTTAGTGTTCTTTTCTTCTTATTTAATAATAGACATCTAACAAAGATGGGAAATGTAAGAAAATGTATTTACAGTTTCTTACATTTTAACATTCTTCAGAAGTTAAATGAAAATTAAAGAATTTTTAATTTTAAAATCTTTTAATTAATAACTTTTTTAAAGTTTTTGTCATTAGAAAAAATAACTGTTCCGCTTATTTCAAGTAGAACAACTATTGTTGCAACAGTTTTTATGAGATATGCTGTGCGTAGTCAGAATCCGTGGCAAGGTTTTGGGGTGCATATCCTTGAAACAATTTCGTTATGATAACGAATTACGGATGACTCAGGAAAATGACTTCCATTCGAGAACCACAACAGATTGAGAGGTCGGCCTTGCGCAGAATTCTACAGAGCACTTTGGACTGTCTAGCCTTATTGATTGTGACAATAATTACTGGGGGTTTTGGAAGCCCTTGTTGCAAGGATAGGCACCCCAAAACCTTGCCACAGATTCTGACTACGCACAGCATATCTCATAAAAACTGTTGCAACAATAGTTGTTCTACTTGAAATAAGCGAAACAGCTATATTTTTTCTAATGACAAAAACTTTAAAAAAGTTATTAATTAAAAGATTTTAAAATTAAAAGTTCTTTAATTTTCATTTAACTTCTGTTCAAAATTTTTTCTTGAAATTCTGTTCCGCTTATCCCATGCAGAATGACATCAGCTACAACTTCGCGAGCGAAAATTTTTCTTGAAAATTCTTTGTTATCGCGCAATCGCTGGCAAGATTTTCAACAATTACTTTTTATACTTAAAAGTAGAAAAAATACTCTTTTTACCATGTTTCACTTAAAAAACTTATGTCGTTCGATTCCGATAAAACATAATGAATTATTTTACAATACCATCAAAATCGAAAGTTTAATCAAAATTTAAACTTAGTTAATTAATAACTCTGTGGATAGTTACCAGTTCATTGTTGAAAGTAAAGGTAAAAAACAAATTTCTGTCGAGAAAAACAGTCACTGGTACAGTACGACCAAAAAAAAATGCACGATTATACGATTTAAAAAATCGTTATAAATAAGAAGCATTAACACTGGAAGAATATTTTGAAAAGGTGATGCGATTAATTGGTATCGAAAAATTTTGATTTTGATTTATTTATCTGTTGTTTCTTTCTCTAATAATGTACAAATGTACTTTTCCAATAGAATCATTGGGAATAATTCAGCATTCTTTTTAATTAGTCTGTTTAAAAAAACATCTTATGAATTTACTTCTAGTTTTATTTTTCACAACAGTTAGAGAGCGTTTTTTCTAGTGTTAAATTAAGCTTTATTTAACACTAGAAAAAAAGCTCTAAAAATATTTTCGATCAAACAGGAATATCAATTAAGCTTTCGCTGAAACAGGAATTCACCGTCTAATACTTCTGAAATTTTCGCTATAGACAAGATTTAGAATACTGAGTGAATTCTGTTGCCTCTTTTATTTTGTCGAAAATAATCAGACATTAGTGAAATTTTGAATATGTTCTTTATCATCACAATTCTGTCATATTTGAAGAAATCAGGAGCTAGGTTATCGCATCTTACACAGCACTGAAGTTTAAACGAGTAAAGGTTTTATGCATCGTGAGTCAAAATAAAGAAACGATAGTAGATTCAAGTATTATTCAAAAAGAGGAAGCTACGGCTTTTTTCTAATTATACATGTAAGGTGCCGGTAATTCAAAATTACAACACGATTAATTTTTTCGCTTGTTTTTTTGACATGGTTGGTTAAAGCTCATCGAATTGCATCGGAAAAATAACATGACTTTTAAGAAGTGATTTTTCGGTGAAAATATTCAAAAATACCCGTTTTTTGAAAATAAGTAAAAAAAAAAATTGTCAGATAGGATAGAAATTCACATCAGTCGACTCAGTTTTTGATCCTGATTCCAAATATGCTATTTTTATTGCTTAAAAGTTCAGTTCTAATCGAGAAATTTGAGAATGACGGACAGAATTCCGACTTTTTCTTCTGATGTAGAAAAAGTGACTTTTCTCGAAAACGACTAAACATTTCTAAAAAAAACGTCTCCTATTTTTTCTCCTACAAGTGTACTGATTAGACGTAAATAACAATTAATCCTTAGTCTTTCAATGGAAAAAACTAGATATGTTAGCAAATTTGGTAGTAGG